ACACGGGGGGGGGGCTCTGACAAGGTGGTGACGAGCATCCTGCTGCAGGGTCACCTTCAAGGGAGCGGAGGGAAGTGACGGGAGAGGAGGCCAGGGGTGGGGGTGGGTGCAGAGGGACAGAGGCTGGGTGGGGAGCAGGCCTGGCAGGACAGACATCCTTCTGCAGTGGGGCCCAGGGGGACTAGGGCCCCACCCAGGGGTGGGGTGTCTGGCTGGCGGGGGAGGGGAGAGCACATGTGCAGGAGGGAGCCCGAGGGGCCAGGTTTTGTATCTTTCTTAAAGAAAAGCCTCCTCTTGGTAAGGGGGGGCTCCACGTGTGTCTGGGAGCGTGCACTTGCACAGGCACATTGGTCGGGAGCGTGTACAGTTCCATGTCTGGGTATGTGCCTGGGTGTGTCTGCACTCCTTCTGCAAGTGTTTACTGAGCACCTACTGGGTGTCAGACTCTGCTCTAGGCCTGGGAGACAGCAGCGGGGAGGCCATCAGTGAAATGAGTAGGTGGAGGGTCTGCTGCACTAGAGGCGCGGTGTGAAGTGGGGAAGGGGAGGGAGGGCAGGGGCCAGGTGGAGAAGGGCCATCTGAGCAGAGGTGTGCAGGTGTGCACATGCAGGTGTGCATGAAGGCGTGTGCACGAGGTGTGTGCACAGGTGTGTACCCACGTGTGTATGTACATGGGAGAGTTCTGAGGGTGAGCGTGGAGGGGACAAGGAAACACATGGGGCAGTGGACTCAGGTCGGACTCAGGCCTGGCTGCCTGGGGAGGGGTCTGCACTGACAACCCCTGTAATAACACTGTCGTCTACACCTGGCACTGGGGGCTTCCCATGCACGATCGTCCTGCCTCTACACGTCCCCGGTGTGTATCCCTGACCAGTTTACGAATGGAGACCTGAGGCAGGAGTGAGTTCGCAGCTCGCCCGAGTCACAGGCAGGATGACTCGGGCTGCGTCTTGGGCTCCGTGGGCGGCACACAGAGGGGACAGTGCACGCTGCGAGGGGACAGCGCCCTCCTGGGCTGTGTGTGCATGACCTTCACACTCGCATGTAGGAACCCGGCCTGACTGGCACCAGAGCTAAGGCCCTCCTGGCCTGTGGCGTGGCCGCACCCCTGGAGAAGGCCCCATCTACCTTTCTGCCAAGTGATGGCCGGCCGGGGCGCCCCCGAGGTCTCGCACACCAGCACCACTGACATGCCGTCGATCACTGTGCTGTCCAGGGGGCCCCTGGTGATGTTGGGGGCGATGCCTACAAACAGAGACAGGGGCCTCTTAGCTATACCCCGGGATGAGCCCAGCCAGAGGACCAGGACCCCCTCTTCCACCTCTGCCATTCCGCCGGGGTGGGTCCCCTGCAGGGAAGGGTGAGGTACCCTGAGGGCTCCCTGGGCTACATGGACTTGGGTGACACCAGTCCCTCCTAGACTCTCAGACCTAGGTCCCCTGCAGGGAAGGGTGAGGTGTCCTGAGGGCTCCCTGGGCTACACAGACTTGAGTGACACCAGTCACTCCTGGACTCTCAGGCCTCTGTGGGGACGGAGGACCCCGAGAGCAGCACATGCCTCCATGACAGGGGAACAGGGCTCTCCTTCCCAAACAGGAGCTTGAGGCTCCGGCTTCTGGAGGGAAGGGCGGCGAAGGCTGACAGGAGGGCTGCCTTGGCCCCCGAGATGCGCTTCCTGGGGGTCAGCGCCCCCTTCTTGCCTGCAGTCCCCTCTGAATCCCACCCTTAGCAGCAGAAGGGCGGGGCTCAGGATGGACCAAGAGTAGACGGATGGAGCTGTGCGGCCCCTGGGGCCACCTTGGGGACAACACCAAAGGTGGCTTCACCGCTGTGCGAGAACCCAGGGACAGTGGACGTGCAGAGTGGAGCCCGGGGTGTCCAACTCCCTTTCTCAAGGGCCAATGAACCCTCCTTGGCTCCAGGACACTGGGAGAACTGCACAGGCCCGAGAGCTCATCTGGAACTCTGGGCTCGGGCTGCAGCAGCAGGGAGCATGACCGGTTCATGCCGCCAGGCTATGGGGCAAGGGACAATGCCCTGGGGCCCTGTCTGCATAATGGAGCCCGCAGTCCCGGAGGGGCGTCGGCTGGGAGGAGGTCTGCATCCTGGGTGGGACTGGGCAGGCCCAACTTACTGGTGACGGCCAGGTAGGTGGAGGTCTGCACCTCGCCGGCCGTGTTGCGGGCGAAGCACTGGAACATGCCGGTGTCGTCGGGTACCAGGCCGCTGATCTGCAGGCCCCCGTCACCACGCTGCCGGAAGCGGGTCAGCTTCTCCACCTCCACCACGGCCGCGTCCTTGTACCATGTGATGGAGGGTGGTGGCACACCTGTGGGTGACATGTGGGTCCAGGTCAGCTCCCCTGCCACTCTGCCTTTTAGGTGTGCTCAGGTAGAGTCCAGGGCTGGGAGTCTGTGCACCTGGGTCTCCAGAAACTTCCAGGAGTCCCTTTTGGTCTGGGGAGAAGGAGAGGGAGTTCTCAGAATGATAGCTCAAAAAATCTTTGGGGGTACAGATTTAAGAAACGAAGTGGGCTGGCCCTGTGGCCTGGTGATTAGGGTAGAAGGATCCCACATGGCTGACCACAGTTTGAATCCCAACCTTGGTACTTTGAAAAACGTGCTCTGGGGACCAGTAGGAGGCACGGTGGTTAAGGCAGCTGGATCCCACAGGGCCAACCTCACAGTTCGAGTCTTGTGCCTAGCAGCTTGTAAAGCACACTGGCTGCGTGTGCGTGTGTGCCCGAAATCTCAGAGTGGAGGGGACTGTGGCACGGCCGTCCTCCCTGGAGATGATCTCTCCCTATGTCCCCACCTGTCTTTGGGGAGTGCATATGCCCTAGAGCATATTAAAAACCAGACAGAAAGCCATGCTGGGTGCGTGCGCTTGTGTGCCCAAACCCCACAGGATAGAGAAACGGAGAGAGGATTGAGACACAACCACACCGCACTTGAGGGTACCTTCCCCCTTCTGTCTGTCTGTCTGTCTGCGTGCCCTCTGGCAAATTAAGATAAATGGATAAATGTAAAGATTCTGGACCAGCTGGGCTCAGAAGGGCCGTTTTGGACAACCCCGTTTTTTTTTCCTTTCTCCTGTGATATTGGGCAGAACCTTCATGTGCTCTGGGAACCTCCAAGTGGGAGATGGTCCCCATCAGAACCCCGGTCGGGGACACACTGGGTTCTTCCTGTCTGTCTGCACTGGACGGGGGGGGGGGGGCCTGGGGCTCCCCGTGGCTGTTGGCCTTGCCTGAGCGTGCTCTTCCCAGGGGTCCCAGCCCTCCCCTCACTCCCTCCATCTCTGCTCCAATGCGACTTCCCCAACCCTCCCCCGGGAATGAATGACACGGCACTTCACCTACTCGTGCACCGTCTCCGAGGCCGGGAGGTGTCTCGCCATCGACAGCACGCCATAATTTAATTGGCAGCTTTTTTTCATTCTTACTGGGACATAAAATAATGGGGCATCTTACAACCCGCGACATCTCGGATGCAATGAAATAAAGTGTCTGTGGTTGTTTATTGGCCAAGTGCCTCCCGGATAGGCACGTAAGTTCTGGTAAGTTCTGCACTGGTGGGGATTTGGGGGTCTGGCGAGCCCTTCACAACCCTTGGGCATGTCGGTGGTCTTTGGCCTCCCCTGTGGAGTCTCAGAGAGGGAGTCATTATTTATCCTTGGTGCCCCTGAGTCAGGAGGGAGGGTGGGAAGGGGAGAGGGAGTAGTCCCCCCAGCCCTGGCAAGGAGGGTTAAGGAGGAAGAGTGGGTGTGGGGCAGACGAGCAGAATGACCCAGAAAACGGGCAGCGCTTACCAGACACGCCGTGCCCAAGGTCTGCTGCTTCTGACATTACGGTAATTTGGCACTGTCTGCAACTCTCAAATTATGGGCAATTTGGGTCTGTCACCTGTCCCGAAATTACGGTAATTTGGGCTCATTTGTAACTTTCAAGTTGTGGGTTGATTTCCAGTCTGAGATTATGGTAATGCGGCCTGTTTGTTTCTGACTCTGCTCAGTAGTATGGCCTTGAGGAGGAGGAGGGATTCAAACACGTCCCTGACAAGGACGGAGAGGCCGAAGGCCTGGGGTCCTGGTCCCCTCTGCCCACACTGCCGTTACCTTTGGCCCGACAGGGGATGTCCACCACTTTCTCCATCTCGGCTGTGATGTGTCGCTCCGGCTCTTTGACAAACTGAGGTGGCTCTGCAGGTGGACGGGGAGGGTCAGTTCCATGCTCCTTTAAAGCTGGCCACTGTGGTCACCCTTAAGGAGGCCCCTCCCCACACGGCCCCTGCTCTCAGTAAGGGGAGCCCCGCTGCCCCGCTCTGCCTCACCCAGCACAGAGAGGTAGGCTCCCCGGACCACGGGGGCCACGCTGCTGCTGCGCAGGACGGCCTCGCACTCGTAGTAGCCGGCGTCGCTGCTCGTGGGGTTGGGAATGGTGAGCCTGCGGTTGAAGTCGCTCATGCCACCTGACACCAGCGCCCCGTCCTTCTTCCAAACAATGTGCAGCTTGATCAGAGGCCTGTGGGGCAAGGACGGCAGATCAGAGGTCACTGCAAGGACTTCAGACACAGAAGGGAGTGGGGATGGGGTGGTAAGAGGAGCAGGTGGCTGGGGCTGGCCCCTGCCTGCCATTTTCAGGATAGAAGCTGGGGAGCAAGTTCTTTCGGTGCTCTGGGCCTTGGTTTCCTCATCTGTAATGGGGAGACAGCTGTGCCTGCTGGGGTGGCTGGGATGGCAGGTACATTAATGTGAGGGGAGCGCTGGGAACCCAGGGTGGAGCACCCTCATTTTACAGGGGAGGAGAGGGGGCCAGAGCATGCAGGGAGGGGAGCGCAGGTCTTGGGCATGGCCAGAGCATCTCCCTCTGCTATTGGCCCGCCGGGTGACGCTGCGCAGGTCGCTGGCCCTCTGGGTCTGGTCATGGGGCACCTACGCCCTGTGCTGGTGGTTGGAAGAGGGGGGTTGCCCAGGAAGGACTCGGTCTGGTGCCCACACAGGGTGGCTGGGAGTTATTCCATTGTCTGCCACGTGAGAGCAGGGAGGCCGGGGAGGGCCATGCTGGCACCTAACCTCGGGCCCACGCTCCTGCACCAGCACACGACTGTCCCCCAAACGGTGTCCTAGCCACGCCACCCTGCATGGCGGTAGGGCTCTGCTTCCAGAGGAGGCCGCCTCCTCCGGGCTGCTCTGGGTGCCAGGCTCACAGCTGGGGTGTGGGCTGGAATCTGCTTCCCCATAACTTCCTCTAGGGGCTTAGTTCTCCCTCCTCCAGCCACAGAGGATGAGCCAGTCCACCTGAGACACAGGGCTGCCTGTTGCCGCCCCCTGCCGGCCAAGCCCTCATGTGTGGGGACTCCCAGATCTTCCTGAACACAGACTGCTCCCCCTGGAGCCCAGACCCAGGAGCAGCAGCTGGAGTTCCAACGACGGGTGGAGGGGAGGTGCTGCCCACCTGGCGTTGGCCACACACTCCATGGTCACCTCGGAGGTCCCGGCCACCACGCTGGTGTTCTTGGGGGGGATGATGATGGTTGGTGCGATGGGGTCTGCAGGGCCCCCTACATCTGGGGAGAGGGCAGATGTCAGCTGGGGGCAAAGGTCAGAAATCCCTTCCCTGCCTGGCCCAGTAGGGGTTGACGCCATGGGAGGGAGCACTTTGTCCTTCGTCCCTGAGGAGTGGCTACCGGAGTATCCAGAGCAGCCCAGGGGCTGCGGCCTCCCTGCATTACCTCCTCTGGTTTTATTACCTCTGAAATCCTTCCCTGGCCTGGATTTCCCCAGGGGCTGACTTCTTCATTGTCTGCTTCCTGCAGCTGCAGAACTCAGACCTCCCACTGAGCCTAGTGTCCCTCCCCCAAACTCAAGCCCACCTGGCAGCTGGGAATGAGCCTCTGTTTGGAAATGGGGCCTTTGTGGTTAGTCCAGGAGAGGCTGCACTGGGCTGGGGGTTCCAAATCCAGTAAGACCGGTGTTCTCAAAAAGGGAGACACACGGGGCTGTGAGATGACCAGCCGGGATCTGCAAGCTGAGGCAGGCCGTGGCTGGGCCGCCCCC